ATAATTAAATAAATCACCCAGTCTCAGGAATTTTGTTATAGCAACAGTCAATGAACTTAGACACCATCTTAGGACAAAGTGACAGTGATTCAGTTCATACTTAACAAAAGAAAGATGGTAAATTTCAGTATTTCCAAAGACATGATGAACTAAAAGGAAATCAATGGGACTAAGCATTTTTCAATTGATAGCTGAAAATATAAACACCTGAACATTATAGCTTTAATGCACTTTTCAAAACTTGGCAAATTCTCCCCCTTTCGACTCACCTGCCTTATGGATTCTGGCACTGAGCCTGGACTGGGTATGCTCTGCAGAGTGCAGCATAATTTAATTGCCTGCATAAGTAAATTTCCATCAGGTGACCCAGGGAGAGCTCAAATGCAACCTTCAATTAGCCTAGGGAAAGCAGGGTGACAAGAGCGAACTACAGAACTGTACAGAGACTTACCTAGCAAATCCCCTGAAATGGTAAGTGAAGCAGCTGTCAACTATGTTGGCAGGATTTACTTGCTGGTTTCTGATTTTCATGCCAAATGCTAACAAAACATAAAAAGAATGGTGCTCTCTTTACAACCCACAGTCTTTGAAATCAGAGCTGATTTCTTATTTGTAAAGATTTGTGCAGCTGCCCTGCCCTTTATAACTTCACATCTTCCTGCTCAGGGCCTTTAAATAGGTTCTGTCCAGATAATAGTTGAAGAAATAAAGCCCAGGGCTCTTGAACTCTTTCAATATAGACCAACCATATTTGTTCATCTTTACGGAGCCTAATCTGGCTTCTGAAATGTGTTCTAGGAAGGAAATGTAAGGAGGCAGGGGGAAAGAGACAAAAGGAAACTGCAATTACTCATATTGTATAGGTCCTTAAATAGCAATTCTTCCCACTTAGGTATCCCATAACCCACTTCCTATATCTACAGAGCTTCATGAATAGTAATCTTTCTACCTAGCAACTGCTTGCTGATTCATTCATTACCTTAACCCACAACTACTGAATGTCTCCTCTGTGCTAGCCTAGGTACTTTCATTTAGTTCTTTTTCTCCTTCAAGAAGTAAGATCCTTTAACATAGATATATGGATAGCACAGTAGCCACACATAAATGCATAGCACCTTTACATTATATGTGAAAAGATCTGGGGTAGGTACAAAGGACAAGTTCAAGTTCAATTCCAGAAAAGAAAGGACAAGGGAAAGTTTGGCTAACCCTGATCATTACCTGGCTGTGCTGGGTGAGAATTTAAGAAAAATTATTTAAAAAGAAAAACCTTTTCATGAACATGATGTTTTAAGTTTAGGCATATAGTGTACCTTCTTAACTTCCACCTCCATTCCAAACACAGTGAAAATATATATAAAGTTACAAGCACCTGGGGATCTTCCATGTTTGTATGATAAAAAACTAGACTACATATCTTCAAAGAAAATGTGATTTGAACCCCCACACACAATCACATAGAGAGTATATTACTGAGCCTTAAAAAAGAAGGAAATCTTGTCATTTGTGACAACATGGATGAACTTGGGGAACATTATCTGAAGAGAAATAAGCCAGGTACAGAAAAACAAATACTGCAAGATCTCACTTATAATGTGGAATTTAAACAAGTTGAACTCAGAGAGTCAGACAGTAGGGTGATGTTCCCAGGAACCAGGGGCTGGAAAAATGGAGAGACGGCCAAAAGGTTCAAAGTTCCAGTTAAACAGCAAGAATAAATTCTGGAGATTTACTCTACATCACAGTTCCTGTAGATAATAACACTGTGTTCTATGCACTTATCCCTGCAGATTCTGCATCTCTGGCTTCAACAAACGACAGACTGAAAATATTTGAAAAGAAAAATTGTCTGAAAACACACAGACGTTTTTCTTGTCTTCATTCCCTAAACAATACAGCCTAGCAACTGTTTATACAGAACTTATATCACACTAGATATTATAAGTAATTAGAGATGATTTAAAGTACCCAAGAAGATGTGCTCAAGCTATAAGCAAATATTATGCCATTTTATACCAGTGGCTTGAGCAGCCTCAGATTTTGGAATCTGTGAGGTTTTGGAATCAATACTCCTGTGGAYACTAACTGTATTTGAAATTTGCTATGAGAGTAGATCTTCAACGTCCTTACCTCAGACACACACAAATAAAACTATGTGAGGTGATGGATACATTAATTAGCTTGACTATGTTGTCATTTCACAAGTTATACACATATCAAAACAACATGCATACACTGTAAATATACACAATTTTTATTTGTCAATTATACTTTAATAAAGCTGGAAGGAAAAGATCATGACAAAATAGTTTAAACATCTCCATGAAGTAGAAAACAAATAGAAATGCAGTAGGCAGGGGTATTCGATAGCTTATTTCTGTGGACTAACAGGGCTAAAAATGTCCCCAGGAAAAGGTTCAGACTCACCACCAGAATTCAATGAAGAGGGAAGCCCCTCACCACAGTGAAAGGGGGCTTTAAAACTCTGCTTGCCCAGGGAGGTGGGAGGAGGCAGATAGTCTCTCAACCAGACCTGGGCCACACTGACTACTGGCCTGGTGTTTGACCTTGAATAGTCCATCACCACCGTGGAAGAGCAAGCCCTGGCTGCAAGCATAAGACTGGGTTCTGGACCAAGGTTCTTGCAGGTAGGATACAGGCAACATCAAATCCCTAAATGAGTCAGGGTGAGTGCATTGAAAGAATCCACAGGAAACAAACATAAGATAAGGCTCTCAACAGTAATTCCAAAGCACATAAGAAAAACTAACACCACAAACCATGGCCAATAAAAATCAACATCAGACGAATCCCCTTCAGCCAAAAGGAAAAGAGCACCCTGGAAATGACTTTACACTGGCGTTTTAAAACCTAGGAGGAAGTTGTACAGATAATATTCAGCTATGTTTTAACATTCCTCAAATTAAATTTCTTACTATGGAAATTTTGAACTTTTACACATATAACTTGTACTTTCCAGTGATGTGGCTGGAAACACAGTGTCATCACCATATTTAACAACCAAAAGACCACCAGCTCCGGCTGTGTTCACTCAGAGTGGTAGCGAGAACTTGTGAGGTCCCTGTACCCTGCAACAGGCTGAAGGACAATCAGAATCTCGACCCAGCCCTAGGTGGAATTGACATGGTCTGCCAAGGTGCCCATGTAGGGGAAAACTCAAGTCTATCCTGGGCCAGAACACTCTTCATTAACAGAGGCTAGGACAGCAGATGGCCCAAGTAAATGGCTCCTAAAAATCAAACATGAGCATTATAACTAAATTCAGACTAAAGAGGAATTAAACATTAAATTCTCTACCTTCTCTGCCACACATGAAATATAAGTGTTTACATTTATATTGCAATATCACATTCATATTAAAGTGGGAGATCTTAAATATAGAAGATGACCATTGGATGAATCATTGACCAAACCTTCAAAATCAGAAAAAAGTTGAGTCATCAAGCATACCTCTTTTTACCCTTTATGATATTTTTTACCCTTTATGATATAACCTCAAAAAAAAAGAGAGAAAGAAATATGAAAACCAAATTGCTTTCAAACACATTGAAAAAAGTTCCGGTAGTATCGAGCCTGAGAATGTCATGGAACGGCTCCAACTCCTCTGGCGTTATCAGCACCTGCTACTTCAATGAATCATGTTCTCTCCCTTTATCAAAGGACACAATAGATGCTACTAGGAGTAAAGGGAATGGGGTGGGTAAGGGAAATCACACATTCTGCTCTAATCCCAACCAGAATTTTGGCTCAGGGAGAGAAAAACCCTGTGGAAGTTGGCAAAGCAGGTAAGCATAGTTAGCTTCATGAAAATTGAACTCCAGAGAACCCTGGGGCATTAGCCAGTGACTAAATTTAGTCTTTTTTTCAAACACAGACAAATTTAACAAAATGCCCTTCTAAATCCCTCAAAGGAGATCTTGGAGGGCTCCCCAGTGTCAAGTCCATAGCAAACTCTAATTTGCTTAGAATCAGGGATTCGTGGGTAGCAAGTCCCCTGTCCCAGGCAATGTTCAAATGGAAAGACCCATGCTGATGTGACATGAAAGTATGGACGTGCCTGAGGTGGGAGGCTGCTCAATTGTAACTTTCAAGTCTGGAAGTGAGCACACTTGGCGGTTGTTAGGCCAGAATTTCCCATGAGGCAAAAGCAATGCCAACAGAGCCAGAGTACTCAAAAAGCTTGGAGACTCCTCAGGTTGTAAATCTAGCATTTTGGCAGCCTCTTCTCTCTATATATATATGAAGGAGGAAGACTCATAATGATTAATGTGTATTTGCTGCCTTTGATCGAAAACCAGCAAATCTTGCCAGCAGACATTTATTAGAAAGAAAACCAAGAAACAACATAAGAATTACCAGACAGTTATTTAGGAGTTAATAATTCAGTCCTTTGTTTTTGTGTGTTCTTCCTCCTACTTAATTCCTTTTGACCATTTTTTTTATGTTGATTGGGTTCCCTCAACTCACTAGTAAAGTAAATCAAATGAGTCTTAGAGTTATCGTGGGCAGTCTGTGGTTACAAGCTGTCGTAAAAGGTTTGGTGAGGGGAAGGAAGTGGGGGGTGGATATTATAATTACTGGAAAAGTGATTGTTGTTTATCTTGGTTAGCAGGGTATACAGTGGGGCTCTGGGGCCCAACACAACCTTGGTTTTTCATGTGCTCTTTACTAGCTGTGTGTCCCTGGGCAAGTAACCTGGTCTGAGTCAGCTTCCTCATGGGGCAAATGGGAATATTAATACTTACATTGGTGTGCAGTTGTAAAGATTGAATAAAATAATACAAAGAGCCGAGGAGAGTTCTTTCCACCAGCTAGGCACACAAGCTTAATGATTCAAGTTGTGTAGAATTTACTCTCCTCACACAGTGAACAAGAAAACAAATATTCCTAAACTGAGAAAAGGATTCCCCAAGCAAATGTACACATTTTAACACATTAAACTTCCTGGTGATTTAAATGTGCAAGAGTCAAACTTTTACCTGTCGACTTCCCTGCTTGGAGGAGCAGCTACTTGTGCTCCTTGAAGGTGAGACCAATTTCTGGGACACACCAAGGTTCTTTTCATCACTCATTGTCAGTCACTTGGCCTCAATGCAATCAAAATGCCATCAGAAGACAGAGGAGTTGAGAGGATGGAGGTCCCACACAGGTAGATAGGTCAGCTCTTATCCAGTATGCTCAAAAAGCATTTTTAGATGGCCCAGAGGAAATCCCTAAAACCAAAAGAAAAGCAATTAGAGAGGAGTCAGAGACCTAAATGTCTTCTCTAGTAAATCATGTAAGTGTCTTCATATTACACATGACAAAGCCTTGATGCTTAGGTACAGGCTATCAAGGAAAAATGTTTCACACTTTCCTCTTATGGGTAATTTTGTATAGGTGGTTCTTCATGCAGTTCTGTAAGACAACAGGCTTAAGAAGGTTAATATGGAAATTTGAGACACATACAAAATCAGTATCATAAAAAATCCCAAGCCACAATGAGACATCACTTCACATCTACTATGATAGCTATAATTTTTAAAAGAAAGGTAAAAACCAGTGTTGGGAAGGGTGTGGCGAAATTGGAACTCTTAGGTATTGCTGGTGGGAACAGAAATTGGTACATCCATAGCAAAAAACAGTTTGGTGGTTACTCAAAAATGTAAACATAGAATTATCATATGATCCAGCAAGTCCATGTCTAGGTATGTATCCAAAAAACCTGAAAACAGGAATTCAAAGAAAAACTTGTAGACTACTTCTCATGGCCACGTTATTCACAATAGCCAAATGTGGAAATGATCCAAACGTACATCAAATGATGAATGAGGAACTAAATCTGGGAAAGTCATACAATGTAAAATTATTCAGATATTGAAAGGATACACATTTTAACACAGGTGAACCTTGAAACACCATGCTCAATGAAACAAGCCTGACACAAAAGACCACATATTACACGTTTCTATTTATATGACATATCCAGAGTCAGCAATCTGTAGAGACAGGAGGGTGATTAGTGGTCACATGGGTGTGTGTGGGGGGTGTGATGACGGCTTACTGGAGTTTCCTTTGGGGATGATGAAAATGTTCTTGAAATAGATAGTTGTGGCAGGTGAACAATATTGTAATAGTACTAAGTGTCACTAAATTATACCCTTGAAAGTTGTTGAAAAGATGAATTTAACATTGGGCATATGAAACTACAATTTTAAAAAATCCCTTTGTTTTCAGAGAAAAACCCACATAAATACAGTTATCTTATATTAGACAAAGGCATCAAAAACATACATTGGAGAAAAGATAGCCTCTTCAACAAATGGTTCTGGGACAACTGGAAATCCATATGCCACAAAATGAAATTAAGCCCCTATCTCTCACCTTGCGCAAAACTCAAAGTGGATCAAAGACCTACAAATCAAACCAGAGACACTACCCAAACCTCCATCATGTCAGATTACGCCCCCACTTAAGACTCCTATAGCGCAAGAATTAAAATCAAGAATCAATAAATGGGATGGATCCAAACCAAAAAGCTTCTTCTCAGCAAAAGAAACAATCAGTGAAGTGAATAGAGAGCCTACAGAATGGGAGCAAGTTTTTATCACATGCACATCAGATAGAGCACTAATCTCTAGGATATGTAAAGAACTCAAAAATCTTAACGCCAAGAAAACAAATAACCCAATCAATAAATGGGCCAAGGACCTAAACAGACACTTCTCAGAAGATGATATACAATCAATCAACAAATATATGAAAAAATGTTCAATATCTTTAGCAATTAGAGAAGTGCAAATCAATACTACTCTAAAATTTCATCTCACTCCAGTCAGAATGGCAGCTATTTAAGAATACAAACAACAAGAAGTGTTGTCGAGGATGTGGGGAAAAAGATACACTCATACATTGCTGGTGGGACTGCAAATTGGTGCAGCTAATATGGAAAGCAATATGGAGATTCCTTGGAAAACTGGGAATGGAACCACCATTTGACCCAGCTATCCCACTCCTCAGTTTTTACTCAAAAGACTTAAAAACAGCATACTACAGGGACACAACCGCATCAATGTTTATAGCAGCACAATTCAYAATAAATAAATTGTGGAACCAAACCTAGATACCCTTCAGTAGATGAATGGATAAAGAAAATGTGTATATATACACAATGAAATATTACTCAGCATTAAAAGAGAATAAAATCATGGAATTTACAGGTAAATAGATGGAGTTGGAGAATATAATGCAAAGTGAAGTAAGCCAATCCCAAAAAACCAAATACCGAATATTTTCTCTGATATAAAGATGCCGATTAATAATGGAGATGGGGGGGGCAGAGCATGGAGGAATACACAAACTTCAGATAGGGCAAAGGGAATGGAGGGGAAGGGAGGGGGCATGGAGGTAGGAAAGATGGTGGAATGAGATGGACATCATTACCCTAAGTACATGTATGAACACATGAATGGTGTGACTCTTTGTGTTCAACCAGAGACATGAAAAATTGTGCTCTATTTGTGCAATATGAATCGAATTGCAATCTGATGTCATATATAACAAATTAGAATAAATAAAATAAAAAAAATTTAAAACAACAAGCAAGAACATTGAAAAAAAATTTTTTTTGAAACAAAACAAAATCCCTGTGCTTTGGAGATGTGTTCTCCCAAAGGCTTTTCTTCTAGAAAAAAAAAAAAATCTGTAACATGATATAACAAAAACTGTGGGGACAAGCAGAAATTTCCACATCTATTAGCATATCAATAATTAAAAGAATGACTATTGACTCCATACAACCTACTGCCAAGCACTACATTAAGGACTCCCACAAATGCTGTTTCATTTAACCAACAGGCTGATGGGAGAATATTATCTCTATATGGAGAAGACAATTGAGTCTCTGTGAAATTGTCATCTGCCCAATCACACAGCTGGCTAGAGGCTGAATCAGGGCACTATCCTAGTCCTTTAGCCATGGTCCTGGAAACTGGCAAGACCCAAATTAGCCAGGTATGGTGATAACAGCTGTTACCCCATCTTGGAGACCTGGAAGCTGGGGAGAAAGATATAGGAGGGAGAATATCATGAGCCAGAGGCAACCCCCCCACCCCTGCCCAATTCCTTTCTATAGCACAATACCAACCTCCCAGATGGCAACCTAGGGTGGCAAAGGCAGTGACCAGGAAGGACAGGGAATACCCCTTACAAGTGGTCACCTGGGCCACTACCTGCCACCTCTGCAGATCTCAGAGTCTTATCTGATGGAGGCCTTCTCGCTTATCAGAGAGGAGAAACTCCAGAATTACCACCTCCATCCACAATGTAAGGGTTAAGGGTAACTAATATATTTAGTTTTGGCTTCAGAAGGCCAGGGATATTTATTTAACACACTAAGTTCCAGTAAGTTCTACAACTTTCCCATGCATATTAATAATGCTAAAAAAATTTATTTAATCCATCCAGTTACTGTGTTTACTGAGTGTAATTTTAAAAGAAGAGCCAGGGGCAGTGGCTCAGCCTGTAATCCCAACAGTTTGGAAGGCTGAGGCAGGAGGATCGCAAGTTCAAAGCCAGCCTCAGCAACTTATTGAGGCCCTATGCAACATAGTGAGACCCTGCCTCAAAAAAATAAAAAGGGCTGGAGATATAGCTTAGTGGTTGATCACCCTGGGTTCAATAGCCAGTACCTAAATAAATAATATCAAATAACTGTCCAGGAACCAGCTAGTTAGATACCAAACTTTTGGTTAATTATTAAATACTAAAATACCTATGCCTTCTCTGATATTTAGATCTTTAAAAATGAGTATGTTAAAGCCATAAGCTCAAACCAAAACAATGAGGAGAAATATCTAAATCTCAGAAAGAAAATTAAGGTACCTATAGCCATAGAAGTCCACTGCCATCTAACTCTCTCCACCAAACACCCCCTCAAACCTCCACCCCCACAATCTGTATCTATTACATGTTGGATCCAATCATAAATAAGAATAAAAGCAGCAAAGTAACGTCAGTCTCTCCATAAAGCAAGCTTTACTTATGAGAACATCACTAAGGGTACCTGAATTAGGAGCAAATTAATCTAGTTTAAAACTGATAAAAGAAGCTGCAAAGATATATTAATTTAATAACAGTGTTGGCTGCTGCTGTTGCAAGGAAGAGAAAAAACAACTTGAGAGAAACCATGAATGACTGAGAATGTGAGTGTGTGTGTGTGTGTGTGTGTGTGTGTGTGTGTGTGTGTGTGTCTGCCACCATTGCTACAACATATACAAGGTGGATGAGGATTTCTGTTTGTGTGGGCAGGTTTTTTGTTTTGTTTTCTTTGCAGCTGAAGCTCTGATAAGGAAGAGTATGGGGCAAGAAGAGTGTGTGAATTATGAAACAGGGTGAGAGAACTGAGCAGTGAAGCGAAAGTCACAGGAATTCTGAAACTGTGCCAAAGCAGAAACAGCACAACTGCCACCCCCAAACCCTCCCTTAAAGGCAACTGATAAAAAGGGTCTTCTTTATCTCTTGGCCTTGCCAACTTCAGAGAGAATAACTACAAGGTTGTGCACAGGCCAAACTGGTTCTCATCCAAGTTGGCATTTAGGGTTAAGGCCTCTGCCAGCACTGCAGCCTCCCTCTCCTCCTCCAGGGAAGCTCTTCCCATATCCATCTCCAGGGCAGAGCCCTGTATTATTGCCCAGGAAAATGCATCTATTTCAACCCCCAAATCTTTCTGCTAGTCTCATCAACAGAAATTTAGTTAAAATGGCCACATGAGGCCATTTTAAAGGGCAAAAGAAGTTGAGTGCCAGGAAAACGTTACAATTAAATGGGGCAGAATAAAGAAGGAGGGCAGCAGTAGCCCAAGTATGAGGTATCCCAGGCACCAAGGTGGCCACTAGGACACAGGCAGCCATTGAATCCACCATAGAAGACTTTGAAGGACAAAGGACTTGGCGGGAGTCCTCAAAAGAAGGGGTGTCTTCTATTCCAAGTAGCCATCTTCACTGTGCTAACTTAGAAAAATGATAATGACAACATTTCTTCAGAGGAGTGTGGGGACAGGATCCCAGGTCACTGATTCAGGGATCTAAGATGATGAGGTGAGTGCTTATGAAAGAGTGTGTGGTTCTCATCCCTGCCCAGTGACCCTTCAATGGCAAACCTCTAATTCAAGGAGTTTGCTGGTTTGAACAAAATAGAAAAGCTTCCCTGCTCACAGACTGTGAATAACTTCAGG